CAATTGGTGAAGTTCCCAGTCAAGATTTGCTGCCAATGAAAGAAGAATCCTAATAGAGTTCATCTTGGCTACTGGAGCAAAAGTCTCTGCATAGTCCACTCCATATACCTGTGTAAAGCCTCTTGCTACCAGTCTAGCCTTGTACCTTTTAATAGTTCCATCAGCCTTGTGTTTCACTGTGAGCACCCACTTGCAACCCACTAGTTCCTTCCCTTCAGGAAGGTCTACCAACTCCCAAGTGCCATTTTTGTGTAAAGCATCAATTTCTTCCTGCATTGCATCTGTCCATTCAGATTTAGACAAAGCTTCTGCCACATTCTTAGGAATGGGGACACTGTCCACAAAAGAGAGGAAGGCACGATATGAAGGTGAAACATGATCATAGGATACAAAATTAGAGATAGGATGATTAGTGGTACAAGATCTAACACCCTTTCTCTTAGCAATAGGAATATTAAGATCATTGATGACAGGTGAATCAACATCTAAAGGAACAGACATATCAACAGGAGCAAGTGTACCTGGCTGATGCGACGGATCTGCCTTGGGTGAATCCGATGATGTTAGTTGCATAGTATCAGGTTCCACGGCTCTTGAACTCTGCTAGCTTTTATGGCGACGATGAAAAACCCGGAATGGAGGAGGATCAGATAAAGGAGGTAGTTGAGTTTGAGTCGCCTGTTTCTCCTCAACCCTACTCTCCCCCTAAGGAGAAACCGAGAAAAAAGGTTGATTCTCAAAAAAGGATACATCAATGGAGACATAGTACTTGCGAGAGATGGGATCATAGCAGCGATACCCCTTTTGAGATAAAGGGTAACCAACAAAAACACAAGGAATAGCCCGAGGATCAAGCTTACCTCGAGTAGGGGACAGGTTATGGATAAAGCAACGACACCCAAAAACACGCATCGGAATGGTGGACAATGGGGCTGTAGGGAACAAAAGTTGATGTGAGGCCTTATACTCTAGTAGCCGAGAGGGCATGCGATTGATGATATATGTAGCACACAAGACTGCATCCATCCAAAACCGCTTTGGCACATTCATATGAATTAATAAGCCACGAGCTACTTCGAGAAGGTGGCAGTTCTTCCGTTCAGCCACACCATTTTGCTGGGGTGTCCTGGCACAAGAGCTTCGCTGAAGTGACCCACTCGAAGCAAAAAACTCCGTGAGATCACTATGGAAATATTCCTTCGCATTGTTCGACTGGAAGATATGGATTTCCGTTTGGAACTGAGTGAACACCATGCGTTGAAAATTTTTCACAATTTTTGGCACTTCATCTC